AATTACTACTAGAACTGAATTTAAACAATGCATAGGTTAGCAAAATGTAGACATGCTAAGTTGTTTGTCTCTCTGTATAAAAGAAGCCCAGTTGTGCTTGTAAGGTGTGTTCCTCCCTCTGGCATGAGTCGAGGGGGACACCCGCTCAGCTGACTGATCAATAAAGAACTTGAAGCCGTCTTCTAGACTCCCGTGCCTCCTTGGGGTAATTGGGCAGCTCCAGGGGGGAAACGAGCCCATTTGGCTAACACCCATGCCGGCCGTGTCGATGAGCAGGCGCAGCGCCCCGTAGCTCACCCCCTTCACCCGCAGGATGTCCGGGGACTTGGCCGCCAGCACCGACTTGTGGGCTCAGATCCGCCGGCCGGACACTTCGATCACCAGGTCCGGCTCCTCCGAGACCAGCTGCTGCGGGCTCCAGGGCTGCGCTCCAGCCTGTGGACAGTAAGTGCCAGGGGGCGGCCGGGCGATGTCGCCTCCTCCCGCCTCGGACTCGGACACATGTTGTTAATCTCCCACTGGCTCTTCCCCACCCGGCTGCAGGAGGAGGCTGCTCCGGGATCCTGCTGCGGGGCTTTGTCCCCCGCCCCGGGCGAACTGAAGCACAAGGAGGAGCTGAAACCGCTGGGAGCTTGCAAAGGGAGCGCGGCGCTTTCCCCACCCCCGCTCTCCTCGTCCCCAGCTGATGCGCTCCCTTCCCTGGAGCCGGGCGGCTGCCGGCTGCCCCTGCTTCTCTCCGCGTCCCCCAGAGCTTTCCCCGGTGGGCCTAGCTGCTGCTCCGCTCCTCCCCAGAGCCTTTCTGGACAGGCCTTTGCCTCCCTGATATTCCCATCACCCGGACAAAGGACACAGGACAGGACTGGGCTCTCCATGGCTCTAGCAGAGGCTGGACCTGGCTAATGTCCCCCCCACACACACACACACACACACTCCCAGCTCAGAAGCCAGGGCCGGCTCCAGGCAGCAGCCGAGCAAGCTGGTGCTTGGGGCGGCAGCTTGTAGGAGGCGGCATTCCGCCCAATCCTAGGGCGGCACGGACGCTATTTTGTTGTTGTTGTTCAGCTCCGGCCGCCCTGTAGGGGGCAGCGGCGCGGAGGACAGGAGCGCCCTGCAGCAAGCCTGGCAGGGCAGCCCACGTCCTTCCCTCCCAACCGACCAGAGCGGTGCAGAGCCCTCCCTGCAGGGGGCAGGGCGGGAGGGGCCGCATGGCAGCGCCCTGCTGAAGCCCTGGCCGCCCCCCTTCTCTCTCTCTCCCCTGCTCCCTCCCCCTCCCCTGCTTGCCAGGGCACATCCGCAGCGCAGGGATCCCCCTGCACCCTGGCTCCGGCCG